ATGTATAAATTATCAGATTTTTATACATACACCAACCTCTTATTTAAAAATATCGTGTTACATTTCTACATTTATCGTTATTTTTTTTATATTAACAGAGAATAAAAAAGAGGACAAGCAGGTATTTTATATTTCTCGATGTATTCGCAACAACGGTACCTAACACCGTCAAGGTAAACACGTGGGCCCGCGATCACCGTGATAAGAAAACCGTGGCGGTGTATCGTGGAAAGAATTAAAACACCATCGTGGGGGCTCGGGAAAATACGGGATCCGCTTTGACCGTAGTGTACTGTAAAAATGTGAATGGTATGTAACTATTTTGAAGGAATGCAAAATTCCTAAGAAATAATCAGTTGCTTACTACTAATAAAAAGTTTAATATCTTGATAAAATGTGTCTAAGTCGAAGATGTACGTGTTGCAGATGGCGTGATCGTGTGTACATTTTTGTGATATCTATCATGAAATGATGTGCATTCATTTCATAATTATTTGTAACTTATTCATATTCTTGGTGATTCATTACAATTTTTTCTATTCAATATGGTCTTTTTAAATAAAAAGTACAGTTTTATATAAACATTTTTAATCTGAAAGTAACCCCAAACAGTCATTTAATAATTAAATCCCGTGTAAGTTCAAAAAGGTCAAGAATATTAGCATCGGTAAATTACCCATCTCTCATTAGTTAGAAGCGAAAGGTATACATTTTTATCACTTTTTATAATTATTTGGGTATGTTCTTCATCATATTAAAGTTTAAAAACATTGTGACAAAGACTTCTGAAAAATCACTTCGAATTCACTTCTTTGACAAATTTAGGGTCGAGAATTGACTAAAAATAATAGAGGTCATTTACCTATATTTTCATAAATGTGGACTAATTTTTTATGTCTATGTTATAAAAAAAATTATTATTGAGAAATACTGTTTAATACTGTTCAGTTAATAAAGTCAAGGAACGACGAGGTTTAAATACGTATTTTTTTATAATCTCTTAATAAAAAGTACGCCTAAAAATGACTGAAAATGTGTAGTCGCAGTATGTAAATACCATTCCATGTTTCACAGGCTGCACAACATTTAATAACAAGGAAACATGTCATATGCTTTTGACTGATTGATAAGCGCGTTCTAATTTATCACTTTGAAAAGTTTGAAAATCTTGTGACAAAGACTTTTCCGACATAGGTTCTACCTTAAGTCTCATTCATTTAGAATTTGAGGGTGCAACATTCATTTAAGATGGATTGGTCAAAGAGGAATACCCCGAAGACATATTAAACCAATATAGTATATACCGATATCGGCATGATGTCCCTGCGCCAACTAAAAATTTGTCAACTTGCCTGTATCTCATTTATAACTTATGCTACCTAAAATTTGCTTGAACTATTTGTCATTGTTTCAACATAAATCCTCTTTGGATTAATAAAGCCACTCGTAGGTGTAAATTTATTTTATCAAAAACACTGCCAAGAAATTATTACATGCAACTGTTTTCACATGCGGCAGCAGACAGGGCTTGTAATAGGATAAATAACTCATTATCTCGGTTCATTACTATAAGGAGTGGGGGTATTTTCACTACCCAGATATTCAACAGGCTTCATCAACATTTATCCAGATGGTGTTCAGCTTTCCGATGTTGCACAGCCTGTTATTCTCAATAGCATTCAGTGCTGTTTGTTCAAAATAATTGGATGAGTTTAATAATGCGTTAGTTGTGTAAGCGGTACATTATAATTAAAAATGAATCGTGGAAAAATTTCCTCTATGGAATACTCCTTATAGCAAACAGCAATTATTATGTACAACTGTAAATAATGTACAACAGTTTTGTCGTGGTATGGGTAAATTTTTCCTGCATGTGGCGCATCTCTTCACATGTCCAACTTCAGCTGTGATGTAAAAACATGGCCATATTTTGCTAGAAGCTCGCTGCTGATCCTGTTATCTTCCAGGGTTTGAGGCTAATAATTGGGCTTGCGTCATTGTATCATTGTTCTATGATTTTTTTTTACAGCATTCACTGTTAAGAACGTCGATGTAGATCATTATACCGGTATTTGTGATACAGTGTTGCCTGCCAGTTGCAATTAAGTAGTCATTGTTGTATATCACTGTATATCATTGTATCCATTGTGTAGCAATTATTTAAAAAACTTCTATGATGTCACCCATTGTTATTAGTCTACGTTTATTTTACCGATTCAACCATCTCTAGTTGGACATGTAATCACCTAACTGGCCAAAAGTTGGATATTCTAGTATCTAATTTGCTATCGGGGGATTTTTAAATACCCAACTGAGGTGAATAAAACATAAGGTAATAAATAAAAGAGATAAAACAGTTTAAAAATGTATTTCCAATGCTCATGAATAATAATTATTTTACACTTTTTACACTAAATTTACACTTTTTCACTTTTACAGACGGACAGACAGAAAGACAGACACAGGATTCTCAATCGTTTGAAATTTTACTTTGTTGTAGAGTCTACGCGAAGCATTAAAGTTTTGCGGTATGTTCGCTATCAAATTCGTAACTGAATTTCCATTTATTATAATTACCAAGGAATACATGTACACACGTTTTTTTTTTTTAAATTGATAATCCGTTTTTTGAAGTGGCATGGTTGTACATATTGGTAAAAGCAAATACACATGTTCTGAAAACCAGACGAAATTTTGATCGATACAGTCGAACTACTACTAACCATTTTTGAAAGTAAATTTGTCATGATTTTTTTTCTGTTTTCTTGATCGAATAACCGAATTACAGTAAAAAAAGAAAAAGAAACTTCAGGGTAGTAAAATACTTTAGAGAGTTCATTGAAAATTTAAAACAATTTATTTACATCAATTAAAACATTTTGGTGCGATGTTATTTTTGATTTACAGTGCCAACATAATTCTGGAGCCGTGGCTCTATAAAATTTTTTTTCTGAAAGTATACGTAACACAATTATTATTTTGATAACAACTACCAATTAACCGTTACATGGAAGTGTGATAACAAATTATTTGTCTTTTTTTCTGTAAAGTCCGGCTAGGATCTGGGAGATAATTGATTATGCAAGACAAAGCCCTAATTAAGTTTTCCAGATACCTTAAGGAATTGACAGACTGTAACGTTAGAATTGTTTGATAAATTACGTTTCAGTAGAGATAATTATCTGTTTCGATTTTCTTTTTTATCACAAGTCTTGCTATGTCGGTAAAATTTTTACTGTGTCGCACGCATAAAATTTGAATCGTTACTGCGTCGGACAATATTTTACTTTGTTGAAAACAACACGGTAAAACGGCTCATGGAGCACCCTTCAGACAAACGGACTAAAGACAAATTGTGATCAGAATAGCTCAAGTCGTATTACTTACAACAGAAATTTTCTAAGCGGAATAAGTTTATCCCTTAACTTAATTTATCATGTACAATTCAAATTGGTGACTTGTAGTGACCAATTTGTAACAAAAGAAATCATTACCAAAGAAGGTTGCCTTCTATGCTTACGTTATTTTTACTACATTTTTTTTTTCATTTTTTAATGAAAGAATTCAGTACCAGAAGCTAATTTATTAACTCTCTAATTCAGACATGTACATGCAACTCTTGATGATAAAAAAGAGGTATCATAAAATCCGAAACATTCAAAATTATTCCACGAATATTCATAAGGCAATCACTATACTTTATATTTTTATTTTTGCTATAGTTTACTGATCATCATTGCTTTTCTTTTCCATTATAATTCAAATATATATCAAATCAGTTCAATTGACAAACCTTATAAGGAGGCTGGTAGAGATTCGTCCTTGAACTTCTATAAGAATCGGTTTGGTTAGATATAGGTGGAGAGAAATCGGTGATATTACATAACTAATAACAAACATCTACTTTAAAAAGTACTTGAGGGAACTACATCTGATATGATCTAGATGGCATTTGCAGTCATTAATTTCAATCTACTGAGTGTAAAGATCAAGTGTTTGTTTAATCAACCGTCTTCCACATGCTAAATAATTTGTCAGATATTTGGCAATTTAAAGAGAGACATAATTAAAAAAAACAATAAAACCTACTTCAAGATTATATGACATTTTATGTTAGTTCCTATATAACAATTGTCAATAGAGTCATTAATTAATACTATTCCCCTTTCCTGGTACTATCATAGAGAACGTACGTCATTTTTAAATTTTCAATTCGAGACAAATCATATATTTTGATTTCAGAAAGTAAAATATTTGATTTTAGAATCAATGTGAGATTTTTAAAGTGTCTTTAAAAAGATGTTAATTTTGTGATGTTTAGATGACAATGTAAACTTTATATTGGTCGATATTATATTGCAAAATAAAGTTACTTTAAAATATAGTTTCAATATATTTATGTTGAATTACCCTGTATCACCAGCCAGTCATTTATATTAATTCAAATAATAATGAATTAATGTGATTTCCTAAAAAACACATTATGCTCCATAACGAAAGCAACATTTGATTTTGTAAAACTTGTAGAAAAAAAATGCATCTCTAAGAGATAAGAATTAAATGTACAAGGAAATTACACTTTCCAAATTAAATTGATTTTTTTCACAAAAAAGTTCAGTAAGCAATTTGATTGAATATCAATTTTCATAAGTAAAAATCAATAATAATTTTTTATTACCTCCTACTATATACTTTTGCAATAAAAGACTAAAGATAGACAATAACCAGTAAATATTTTTAAAGTTTTGTTTTTTTAAATAATTTTAAAATAATTTAGCATTTTTTTTCATAGTTTTAAGATTTTTTCAAGGATTTTAATACTTGAAATGATTAGATTGATCAAGATGACTTGAAGTGCTCAATTTCCGAAATATTTCATTTTTGATTGGCAACTGGTAATCACGGGATATGTGTCAATGATTTCTAGGAAAAATGCATCATCCTGTTTTCAAGCCACTCAGAAAACGTACATATAAAAGGAATTTCTTCATTCTTTAACAGAACGGGATCCAAAGTCTTTAAGGGGTAAGGCTTTTTTATGTAAAATAAATCACAGTAAGTCTTAAAACTACTGCAATTAAAAGAAAAATTAAGGTAATAATTCAAAATTTTAAAATGTTTCATATGGTTACTGCTAATTTCCCAAAATTCTTAATTTATTGAAGTATATGCACTCTTTTGGATTACTTGTAAATAACGTTTCCTCTAAACCTTTTTCGTAGATTTATCGATAATGCATTTGGGACCGTTTTTTCTTGTGTTGTTGATCTTCATAATAAATGAAGGTAAGAATATATCTTTAATATTGTAATAAATAAAAAAAAAAAAACTAATCCAAACAGTAGCTAAACCCAGGAAATGTGAAAATAAAACCATTCAAATCCTTAATTTGTCAAACCTTTATTATCTTTTTTGCTTTTGAACATTGCCTCTTCAAATGCACATTTTTTATTAAGTTTATGATAATCAGCATATGCAGAAAACATTATCAAATAAGTAATTATTTCTTACTAAATTGGAAAATTAAACAGATAAAACACGTTGACTATGATTTTATAAACTTTTTACATGAACAAAACTTTATCTTTACACATTGATTGTTGAAAATATGACTACTTTGATGTAACTTTGTTATACCGGGTATCCAACATTTGACTTTGATTTCTTCTTCTTCATTTTACAATCTTTTACTTTTCCTTTTTTTGGCTTTTTAAAGTACACTTTAACTTAAAGAAATAAGTTGTATAAATGAACAAGCGCATACTATATTATTACAATTTCGGTTGACTATGGAAAACCTATGTTCGTATTAACTACAGGTACATTCCCCGAACATTACAACAAAAATTAAAAATTAAAATTTTTTTAATTACCTCCAATTAATTACGAGGGCATAAAAAGAATTAAGCCATAATTTGGATAATGAATCGATAAAAGAGTTCTTAACATAAAAGTGTAGGATTTGTTATCAGTTTTGGTTACATTTTACAAAGAATATGACTACAGAAACTATCACGTTTATTTAGTGTGTTTATATGTGTTTTATTAAATGTTTACTTGCTTCGGGGCCTTTTTTTTTTGCAGATTTTAATTACGGATAGGTTTAAAATGATTCATAATAATTTGAAAATTTTTGACACAAATCGTTTGAATTTATTGTTAAATATTTCTACCCAATTTGAATAACATAAGACGTTAGATAAAAAAAAGATGTGTCAAGAGTCCACGAACTTTTCGAACAAACCTCGTAGTATGTGACTATGCATGTAAATGAAATTTACTAATCTTCTTAATAAATGCTTTAAAGGTACTTGGACACCGATTTGAAGTTATTATTTTCTCTATAATAATACGACTTATATATTTTGATAGCATTTCACACAAAAATTAATTAAAAATCTTATTTCGTTTAAAAGATATTGAAATTTCAAATTTTTCGGCGGGTTTGATTAACATATCATTGCAGTCTCACAAATTTTAATTTTATTCTTGATCCTTAGGAAAAGTGGCAATCTCGTTTTGTATAAATGAAAAATATTAATATTATAATCCAGAAAATTCAGAGTAGACACGTTCGAAAGCAAAACAGACACACAACAATATATTGTCAGTCCGTGCAGTTGTGGTAAGCAGACTGTGACGATTGAACGCACCTGGTAAATTCTAAATATAAACAATAACAGAACTCGAGCCCTGTTTACAAAAACTGTGTACATAACACGAGTGTGCTCGATTTGCTTAACTTTATAAGCATCTCTAAGTTCGGAATTACGATACTTGTGAAGGTATTTTGCTTTCTAACATTTCTACTCTGAATAAAATTATTTTCTTGATAAAAGTTTTAATATTTCTCATTAAAACACATCAAAATTTCCACTTTTCCCAAGGATTAAGAGTACAGTTAAAATTTGTGAAAGTGCAAGGATGTGTCAATTGAACCCGTCAAAAAATTTGAAGTTTTAATAACTTTTAAATGCAATAAGATTTTTAATAAATTTTTGTGTGAAATGCTATTAAAATATATAATTCGTGATATTATACAGAAAAAAATGAGAAATATTAACTTCAAATCTGTGTCCAAGTACCTTAAATATGTAACTACAGTTTTGTACAAACACGGTCGAGTTTGAGTTGAACTGTATATTCTTTTGATTTGTATCGAAGGTAATATATGGAAACCGGTGTTGTAGAGTAGGATTTCCTCCATAGCTAGCTTCCCAACGGAATTCGTACTCTAGAGTAGGATTAACCCCCCGAGGGAAAATCTCACACTAGAGCCAAATTTCACGCTCATTCTTCCTCAGAGTAAAATTGTCCCCTTCTTTTAGATTTAAAAAACCACAGCTGCTATATTTTTGTAAAAAAAAAAATAATAATGACGACAAACAGATTTGAAATGGTAAATGTACTTTAATTTCTGCATTATCTTTTAGGTGCAACAGTTTCCGAGAAGAATGAGAATGAAGCGTTCAAGAGTGCGTTCGATGGGTTTAAGTTTAAAAGGTGAAATTTAATTTATATCCAAAAATTTCTTTATAATATTTGGTCTGTAGATAAAACAAATTTGTTTTTTAAAGAACACCATGCATTTGTTTTGCTACTAAGCGTCGACGGGGGGGGGGGGGGGTTAACATTAAGTTAATATTGCCTGCGTGGCATTGGTAAGAACGCCTGCTTTGGAAGTGCGGAATAAAGGGGTCAATCTTAACCACCCCTACTAATGTTATTGTTATTTAAATTCAAGGGACGTGGTTTAAGTTGACCTTTTCAAAGGTTATAGAGTAGAACCAAAAATTGGCTGTAAACAGAAAATTGATATAGTATGTATGTCCTGTAAAAAATGTGTTTCCATGCGTACCTTTTTGAGAGACATGAATGATTTTAAACAGAAAAAAGGTGGCTAAAGTGGAGGGGGTTAAAATAACAAATTATATATCTTATCACACTTCGAAAATTCTAGCTCATTAGCGACCGATACGCTGGTAAAAAATAGTATTATATCATCTACACTGACAAACCTTTGTTTGCCTTATATGGCTATTGTTATAAATGCGCACAGAGGATCTTACCACGAGCAACTGACCAATCGTAGAATAAATATCAACGTTTACGCCAAATAAATGTATACATTCTACTTCGAACACGTGTTTCAGGTCAATCTATGATCATGTCAATGGAGTGAAAAAATGTTCTTGTGAACAAAATACAAAGATTAAAAACTATGAAAGATTTGTTGTTAACGAAAAAAAAAATATGTGTAATAAAATGTAGTCTTTGTCTAGTTTAGAATACCAGCATTTCAAGGGTAAGGAAAACGAGAAGCATGTCGTATGCATTTAAATGGACAAAACTTTGTTGACATAACCATACTCGTAATGACGTGTTTTGGCCAGGGAATACATATACACCGACAATTGTATTCACGTATAGTACAGCAATAGAACAATTGACATTATACAGAAGCAAAGAATTGCAGTATGACTTTGAAAAACCTAGACTTCCACCGTTTATTTCAAAAATATTTTTTTTTTTGTCATTTGAGCATGAAAATAATAAAGAATTTTAAAAGTTCCTTTTCGTTTACCATAAGATTTTCCTTTTTCATTAAACCATAAAATTCCTGTAGTATCCGTAGTAATCAATAATGCAATACTCATTCAGCTGATTGGTCAGTTAAAATCATGCTGGTGCCTCATTAGCAAATCTGGCGCCAAAAAATATAGTCCCGCTTCCTATGTAAAATATTTGTCCAAAAAGAATTTTAATTCGTGACTGCAGAAAATTGCAATATAGAGAATACTTGTTTAAGTTTGAATGAATGCACTAGAGATCGAATGAAGTGCTTTTTATAAATATTATAGAGTGGTAAAAACTGAAACGCCACATAACGTTTCTGTTTACCATGTCTCCACGTGCTAGTCACTTCCTAGCCACATTTCCGTGAATATTTTATCCTATCTAGCTGTAGTCTCGCTAGCTCTTGCCAGAGCCACTGCCAGAGCTAAACTGAACTTATCGGGTTTTATTATTTGAACACCGAAAAATAAAAGGTTCCGAACACATTAGTAGGAATGCGTACAGAATATTCTCAAGTATGAATGTAATAAAATATATGGAGACAACGAACAAAATTTAAACTCAAATGTCCATAAAACTTTTCATATTTTGGAACAGATCGAACACGGACATCAAAACTATCAGAGGAAGGTTTAGTTGCCATGGAGAAGAGAACATCCTATGTCGACCAGTCACCCCTGCCTTGAGCTCTTCTTATGATGATCTGTTTAAATTGATTGTATATTTTTTAACGTCTCATTCGAGAATTTTTCACGGTAAAGCCGGTGTAGGCTTCGAAAAAGACCTACAATCGGCACTAATGGCCATTAAGCAAGGAGGGTTCTTTATCGTGCAAACGCCTACTTTGACACGGGACATATCCTAAAGACCCATGACTTTCATGTCTAATGTTGAATGCTTGGGGAAGAAACAGTCACTACCTATGTTTAAGTCTTAAGTTTGACGCGGCGCCTCAAACAAGATCCGAATCGCTTAATAATTTATGATTAGAATACACACCATTCATAAAGTATTCATATTTCTTTTAACATACATAATTTTAAATATAACTCATATTTGCAGGCAAAGAGAAAAAAGGACGCCGTCAACCGACCAGTTAACCGACGAGTTCTACCAGAGTTGTTTTACAAGGCTACTAAATGATGAATTAGAAAGTACAATGAACACCCCTATCCGCGACGTCATTGAGGAATGCCAAAGGACTTAGGTAAGAACAATATGTTTACAGTCACTAATTCAAATCCAGTTTTCAATATGCAAAATACGTTGACTTTGACAACTAGTTATTAGTTCCATTGACTAGGTTTACTTATTTTCCATTTCTCAATTCCACTATTATAATTTCCGATACACTGGTGATTAAACCAAAAAATGAAGATGAGTTATGAAAGTTAGTGAGGTATTTTTTAAGATTTGCAATGCATAAGTAAATATATGTACGAGTACATACACAATTGATCCTATCATTTTAAAACTCTCAACTCCTTGTAAGTATTTTTCAGCACGACTAATTTTCAAAGTTCCTCTGCTTCCCTTTGATTTCTTCAGCCTAGAAATATTTGCTGCAGAAACATTTTTTCCAACAGTTTTATCAAATATGCAAGATAATGTAGAGTGTTCTAATTCAAAAGTCCATCAAAAATACCAAATTAGGAGCAGAGTAAACGCGGGTTATAACAAGCAATATTGAAAACCGAAAAACGATGTTACTAGCATTTTTAAGTTAATCATTTATTTTTTACAGCCCCAACTGGGATGAACATGTGCCTCCAGTAGTCATCTGAAGAAATCAAAAGAGCAATTACAATGTATTCAATTGTAAATTAAAAGATGCAAAATTTTGTGTCAAAACATATATAGAATTATTTGTTAAGTGCATATTTAATCGCTAAGCGCATGCGCTTCTAGGGGCAGTGTCCATATACAGGACGTCTTTCATTCAACGACCTGTATCAGCATCTCAAATTCCGACAGGTGTATTTTTAGTTTACCTGAGCCGAAGGCTCAAGTGAGCTTTTCTGATCATATTTTGTCCGTAGTCCGTCCGTCCGTCTGTACATTTTTCGCATTTTCATCATCTTCTCAAGACCCTCTGGGTTGTATTTAAACAAACTTAGTACACAGCATACTTGGGTGATGAGGAGTTTCAATTGTTAAAATAAAGGGTCAAGTCCCCTTCCAAGGGGAAATAATCAAAAAAAGATTAAAAAAAGGGTGGGTCACTCAAAAATCTTCCTCTCAAAAACTAGTAGGCCAGGAAAGCTGACACTTATGTGGAAGCATTCTGGAGTAGAGTAATTGTTAAATTGTTAAAATCATGAGCCCCGGGGTAGAGCGGGTTCACAATAAGGAATCCAAGTTTTACATGGAAATATATTTAGGAAAAATCTTCTCAACAACCAATGGGCCAAAAAAACTGAAACTAATTTGAAAGCATTCTGAGGTAGTGTACATTCTAAATTGTAAGATCCATGACCCCGGGTGGTAGGGCGGGGCCACAAAAGGAAATCCAAGTTTTACATAGAAATATATAGGACAAATCATCTTCTCAAGAACCAATGAGCCAGGAAAGCTGAAACTTTTGTGGAAGCCTCCCGGGGTAGTGTAGAATCTAAATCTTTAAAATCGTGATCCTTAGTGGTAGGGCGAGGTCACAATAGGAAATCCAAGTTTGACATAGAAATAATTAGGAAAATTCTTTTAAAATCTTCTTTTCAAGAACCATTGGGCCATAAAAGCTGAAACTTATGTGGAAGTAATTTAGGATAGTGTAGATTCTAAATTGTAACAAGAGTCCCATAGACAACATCACTCACCTGAGCACTCGCTAGTTAAAAAAACACCAATTGGTTCAATATTGAAAAGTTAACTTGTTGGGGGAGGGGGGATCTATTTTTTTATACTTGAGAATGGCACAATATCAATAAAGCATGCATGTATAACTTCACCATATTTGAGAAGAGTAGCTTTAAAGATTTTCCCTACATATTTCTATGTAAAGATTTGATTGCTCATTATGGCCCCGCCTCCTCTTAGGGGTCATGATATGAAAAAACTTGAATTTAATCTAACTGAGGATGTTTCCATATTAATATCCCCAATCATTGCTTTGCTGATCTTGAGAAAAAAATTTTACCTATACATTGTATATTCCTATGTTAAACTTTGATAAGCCATTGTGTCCCCGCCCTACCCCCGGGGATCTTAATTAGAACAAACGAATCCACACTACCTGAGGATGCTTCCACATAATTTTCATCTTTCCTGGCCCAGTGGTTCTGGAGAAGAAGATTTTTCAAAAAAATGTTTCTATATATTCCTTTGTAAAACTTTAATCAGCCACTTTGGCCCCGCCCTACGCTCAGGGGTGACGATTTGAACAGAATTGAATTAACACTACCTGAGGATGCTTCCGCATGAGCTTCATCCTTCCTGGCCAACTGGGTCTGGAGAAGAACACTTTTAAAAAATTTTCTTATATATTCCTGTGTTAAACTTTGATCAGCCATTGTGGTCTCGCCCTACCCCCGGGGGACATGATTTAGATAAATTTGAATCTACACTACATGAGGATGCTTTCACATGAGTTTCATTTTTTCTGGCCCTGTGGTTCTGGGGAAGAAGATTTTTAAAGTTTTTTTTCTATTTTCCTATCTAAAACTTTGAGCAGCCATTGTGACCCCGCCCTAGCTTCCCCCAGGAATCCTGACTTGAACAACTTTGAATCTACACTTCCTGAGGATGCTTCCACATGAATTTCATCTTTCCTGGGTCATTGGTTCTGGAGAAGAAGATTTTTAAAGATTTTTCCTATATTTTCTAATGTAGAACTTTGATCAGCCATTGTGGCCCTGCCCTATCTCCAAAGCTCAAAACCTGATCAAACATGAATCTACACTACCTGAAAAGTTTCATCTTTCCTGGCCCAGTTGTTCCGGAGTAGTGGATTTTTAAAAGATGACATTAATTTTTCATTAATTCATAATTATCTCCCCTTGGAAGAGGCTTTGGCCCTTCATTTGAACACACTTGAATCCATTTACCCCAAGGATACTTTGTGCCAAGTTTGGTTGAAATTGTCCTGGTGGTTCTTTAAAGAATATTGGAATGCAAAAAGTTTACAACGGCAACGAGAGACAACGGACAATTTTTGATCAGAAAAGCTCACTTGAGCTGAAGGCTCAGGTGAGCTAAAAACCATGATCCCTGGGTGTAGGGCATGGCAACAATAGGGAATCAAAGTTTTACATAGAAATATATAGGAAAAAACTCTTTATCAAGAACCAATGGGACATGAAAGCTAAAACTTATGTGGAAGCATCTTTGGTAATAAAGATTCCAAATTTTAAAAAAATAACTTGACCCCCAAGTGTAGGGCGGGGCCACAATAATATAATCAAATTTTACATAGAAATATATAGGAAAGAAATCATTTCTCAAGAACAAATGGGCTATAAAAGCTGACACTTATGTGGAAGCATCCTGAGGTAATAAAGAATCTAAATTGTTAAAATCATGACCCAAGGGGTAGGGCGAGGCCATAATATGAAATCCAAGTTTAATATATATATTAAACTATATATATATATATATATATATATATATATATATATATATATATATATATATATATATATATATATATATATATATATATATATATATATATATATAAATATATATATATATAGGTAATCCAATAAAAAGTCTCAGTGGTCGGTATTAAATACTTAAAAGGAAAAAGAAAAACACGAAAAAACTTCAGTTAAGCTTTAGGCCTTAATTACTAAATTTATCCGTATATCGTTGAACTTCTACGATCTTTGTATCCATACATATTTTTTTCTAATTTTAAATATGTCATGTGACAAACAGCTGATGTACGTGAAGTCGCGTTGGCCGAACTCGGTTGAGGCCCCATACATACAAATGCATTAGTATAGTTCCCATTAAATTGAATCTCCTGTTAATAAAAAAAATATCAACATTATATGGATTTTTTCGGAATATTTTAAGGCTTATTTCCTATGGGGGGCCTTAACCTAGCTGCGTAATCAACTTTTAGAAGACTTGATTGAGGTATGTCGACAATTTCATGTTATACCACATGGATTTTCTACGGCAGTATTACATTCACAAAATGATACAGAGGAAACGAGTTTGAAATCTGTTCATAATTCTGGCAATGAGGTAAGAGCCTATCAATCCCCCACACAATTGTTACAAAAGCAGATAAACGAACCTGCTTTGGAAAAAGAGGCTGTGAGAGTCAAGCGTATTATCAAAATGATATGGAGCCAAATTTTGAACACGAGGAAACAAACATACTGGAAACAAATTAGCAATGCGAATCATGCAGATTATTTTGAAAAGTGGATTAACCAGGAAAATGCTATAATCCCAAGGAAATTCAGAGTAAAGGAAATTCGAGGAGAGCCAGGGGACCAAACTGCCGTAGGAGTTGAAGTCGCTAAAAATCGTGTAACAGGTGAAATTGCATTACTTCGCATGAGAGCAGAAAACAATCAAAAGAAGGTTATAGAATTAGATCAAGAAATGGAACGAACGCTGATGAACAATGCCAACGAAATTATTCTAGATTTACTTCGAGATATGTGGAAGTCAGAGTGCCGAAGAGAAGATAAATCTTACAATAGATGGAGATATTCAGAGGCTTGGTTACTTGATTATGAACGAAAATATGGCAAAGAAGTTGTTAAAAACCAAGAAGCCAAGCAAAATACAAGCATCAAAATCTAAGTCGAAGAAATCCCAACCTTCCCAATTAAACTATGCATCAGCTGTGAGAAACAACGCACTTTTCCATGAGGATGAAGGTTACAGACCGACTAGGACCCATAATCATAAAACATCACATGTGAATAATGTGTCCGATACACGGAGGAATCAGCAAACAAATGTCTGGACAGACCAAAATTTCCATACAGGTCATAGGAGTCAAAATAATCAAACAAATCTTCCTAGTAAACCTATTCGCCGCAAAAATCCTCCAGCTTTTAATAACAAAAGCAATAAAATATGGGATTTAGACAAGAGAATATATACAGGGATGAGCACACTGCCTACGAGGGTTGTCCCAAAATTCCGTAGACTAAACGCACCAGTTTAATACTATTCAGCGTAATATTATTAAACTTTTACATTTTCTTTCTAATGTTTTTATTGATCGATTTCCAAAATTTTAAGGCGTAATGCAATTATTCTTTGAGAAATTTGAAATTTAGCACCATAATATGAGGCAAGGCGGAGCAATGTCAGCGACGTCGAAATAAGAATACGCGACGTCAAAAGACTTTCAAGCTTCTATGCGTAATTATAAATTCTTCATGTCTTGTAGGATAATCCTTAAAGTCTTGTGGAATATAATTTTTTTTAATTTCAAATGCATTTGCATTAAATTTATATTGAATTACACACAAAGCTGTTACTTGATATTAAAAAAATTATTATAAAAAAAAGAGACAAAAGGAATAAAAAAGCATTGTTTTCTGGAGCTCTTAAGCTGAAAGATATTACTTGAGCACATTGTCGATTTCTTATTCTTTCTCGAAATATTCGCCTTTATGCTCAATGCATTTCCTATGCCTGTCAATCCACTTGTCAAACACATTTTTGAACCATGTCTGGTCCAGTCCAGCGAGGATCCTTAAGGTTTCCTTCATCAGCTCGTCCAGGTCCGAGAATCGTTGGCCTCTCAGCTCAGCTTTTAGGTAAGGGAACAGCGCAAAATCCATCGGTGCCAAGTCTGGGCTGTATGGTGGGTGACTGATTCTGTCAAATCCAAGCAAGTCGAATTCCAGTTTTGTTTGATCAGCTGTGTGGCTTGGCGC